ACCCCGTCGATACTTCTTTTACGAATGTGCTTCGTCACGATTTAGAATTCAATTTAGAGTAATGTGATCACTAGCTTCCAACTTGGGTTCCTAATTAGATTTTCTAAAAATTGGATAATGTAATAAGCGCTTAACACTCCTTAGTAGTTTCTGCAAAATCCGTTCTGAGCTAATCTCTAGGTGGCATAAAGAATATATCTGTGGAATATACCTTGTTTTACCAATATTCTATTGTTGTTTTGATTGTGCTGTATCATTATGATATACTGAATAGATCATGACATCCTATCGGAAAGATAAAGGAGTCAAAACTGAAAGAAATGAGGGGCAAAAGCCGTGGAGAAATGACAATGAGGCTTAATAGCTCCAAAATTCTCTTAAATTGAAAAGCGGTTAGGAATATAATTTTATAAAGTACTTTATTTCACAAAAAGAAATCACTTTGAGCAATACCGAGCTAAAATTAACAGCGATTTTGTTGAGATCATCGAAATATGCCGACTAAGTAAATTAGAACGAATCTTTAAGTAAGGTTAACAAAAGAACCAAATTTTTTATATTTTATTATTTACACCGATTCTTTATATGCTTTTTAAATTCATTATTATGATATTTAGAAAAAACCTCCGTCACGGCTGCCAGTCTCAACGGATGCTATCCATATAAGCAGGACGGAATTGTAGTGTAGTGTAAGAGTGTGTGCGAAACCACAGGTGTATTCTCTATTCCATCACTTTCATAATCCGATTGGGTAAAGATCCGGTACAACCGGAAAAAGATCAAGAGCAGCACCAACGGCTTTACGTGCTAAAATAAAAATAAAACAATGATTGCTAGCCCGCCTGCCAGGCGTTGCAACGTTGTTGTTAAATATTGTCTGGGAGTTGAACTCCGAATCACTTGATCAACAATCGCACTTACGTCAACTATAGAAACGCCACCACCACATGTTCATTTGTCATATTTAAAAACTTTATTTATTTATTTCACTAAAATGTACCCCTTAAAAAAGGAAAAAAACTAAGCGAATACGTGTGCTTTGGTAACTAATGGACCAAATACTCGCTTTTAATTTTATATTTACGAGCAACCCGAGACTGATCTTTGTTGAAAAAGGACGCAAATCGGTAATTACAATTTTAATTGCCTTTTTTATGTGTTTCGCGGTAGGGTTGAAAAACACGGCTACTTTTTGATCTGTAATTCTCCGAGCTCAGGAGCTTTGGGTCATGAGTTGTTAAGAACAGGTGATTAACGAAGATAATAACGATTTGGATAATGAAGAGTGTGCGAGCCAGATTGCTGGGACATCCGTGTACGGATGAGCAATCACACGTATTCAATCATGCCTGTACTCTGAATCTAATCGTAAAAGAAGACAGGTGTAAGAAAATAATGAAATGAAAGAATAAAAGAAAGAAGTGAAATAATAGTGTAATACACAACCAAGAAGTGTAAAAATATTCAAATAAAGACAGAAAAGACATGCGCAAAACCGTACATTACACGTAACATTTCTCAATGTCTTTTACGTCTTACAATAACTATATGTTTTTATCGTGATATGATGGCATACTTTAAAAATCTATTTTATACACTACTAGCTGTGCCCGATATGCATAGCAATGCTATTTATTAGAAAAAGTTGCAGCGAGCGCACAAAAGCTCGCTAAAGTTTCGTCGTATAAATGGGACAGGAAACTTATAGAAAACGGACAAAAGAGTATTCATTTTTTGTCAGAAACATACACAACCACTCACCAAAGTTTTATCAAAATTGGATGAACAGCATAGAAATGCTTACAGAACCAATACATAGATAATATTCATTTTCTGCCGACTTCCAAAAAGTAGACGGTACTCAATTCGATTGTATGTCTTTTTTTATTTTTTTTAATGTGTGTTACCTCATCACTTTTTACTGGGTGAACCGATTTCGATGATTCTTATTTATTTGAAAGCTGGTACTTCTCGTGTGGTCCCATGTGAATTTGATCAAGGTCAGGCCAATAGTTTTTGAGTTATTCTTAATAACTTATATTGAAGGCGGCTGTACAAAATTTTTAATTTTTAATTATTATATATTACACAGCTTGTTACACACTGTTGAAATTTCCATTTATAAGCCTTCGATGTATATTTTTATGAAATGATAATCCCAATGATTACAAAACTTTTAATTACAATCTGACAATATAAACACAAGTGTAACGTCTTAGATGCGGGTGAGAGCACAGAACAACTATACACAGAACAACTCCTGCTTAGTAATGATGCTAAAGGCAGACTATAGTTATCTCTGTTTGGAAAGTAATACACACAATGGCACAATTTATATTTATGTATATCTTCAAAGTATTACCTTTTATTATTTTTAGATTTAGATTTTTAGTTTTTACTTTTTGAGGCCCCACGTCATTTTTCTGCCGACTTCCAAAAAGGAGACATTACTCAATTCGACTGTATGTTTATTTTTTATGTGTGTTACCTCATAACTTTGTACTGGGAGAACCGATTTCGATGATTCTTTTTTATATGAAAGCTGATAGTTCTCGTGTGGTCCCATATGAATTTCATCAAGGTCAGACCACTTGTTATTGAGTTATTCTTAAATAACCTATATTGAAGTCGCTTATATTGAAGTCGACTGTACAAATTTTTTAATTTTAAATTATCATAAACATTTTACTCTATTTGTTTCTATTATTCGTAAAGCAAAGTAAAAAATATTCACGTGATGAGTACGTTAATATGCGACTAAAGGTTTATCTAAAAATATAATTTAAATAATTACTAAATAACAAAAATATTTTACCATCAATCATTAACAATAACAATCAAATTGGACATAATGTCAAAGAAAATTTTATGGAGCTTTATTCTGAGATACACTCACTTCAGAAAGTCGGTTTTTTCTTTTAATTAAAAGCTTAATTTTTTAACCTTTTGAATGGACTCAAAGTATACGATTAAAAACTTCATTCCCTATTTTATTAAAATTTCAAGAAAACAAAGGGCCCTCCTCTGAACTATAATGTTTGCTTCAAATTTTTACGGGACTATCCCTAAAGTACAACCTATTTAATCAAAAAATAATCATTTAGAATGGTTCAGCAATTTTTGAGAAATCGGTGAGCAAATATAGAAAAGACCTTTCTTTTTGGAAAAGAGACATTCCATCTTAGTACTCAAGGGTGCATTTTGATTCTTAATTCAAGATAGATGTAGATCTCTATGGGCTTCAGCATCCACTTACCATCAGGTGGAATGTGCGCTGGTTTGTCCCCTATATTCTATAAAAAAGATGAAAAATGTACGCGTCGTATATAAAACCTCGTTTTTGAACTGTGACTGAAAGGTAAAATGAAATGATCAATATTCAAGCTCAAGAATTAGAGGAAATAAAGAAAAAACAATCGTGATAACATAGTAATGGGCTTCAAATTTAACAAAATAATATTAGTGTTTTCCTAGCTCTGCTGATTCATTTGGTCTTTCTTTCATAACAATGGGGAATAGGGTTTCCGCTTTAACCGAACATTACCGAATCTAACCATAATAGAGCTAAGCCGTGCCATGTTATTTGGTAGACTTGTGTACTCGTACATCGTACATGATGCAGACCATATGCCACATTCACAGAGTACATTCGAATGTCACTTCCTTATGCTAAAGTTCATGTGTAATAGTGTAAAGCTTTTCACTCTCGAGTAATGTGTGATATTACACAATGACGATATTCAATAATTATGCCTTTTTAATATTACATGCATTACATAGATATGTCTTGCTTAGAGAAACACCAGAGAGAGGGTTCCTCTCTGGGGGTTTATAATGTAATAATATGTTGTCTATTTAAATTATTATTTTGACCAGTCTCTATTAGTCAAAGTTATTATATATTATTATATGATTAGGTAAGAAATGTATGGCAAATGTGTTTGTGATGTACATAACAGAAAAGTTATTTACAAAATCAATATAAGACCAAGAATCAAAGCATATCTACATGGGTTAGGTTTTCGACATCAAAAGACTTTTGAAACGACGGAAGGACGTTTTATATGGAAGCCAATAACGGTATTTCAAGCTTCGTTACATTCCTCTCAAACATCTTGATTCTCTACACAATAGGTAGTTTGGTCTTTGAATACATGAGTATTTGTGTGGCTTCAGGGAAATGCAGTATCTACTGAAATATGCTTCTTCATAAAACTTTATTTCTTTTAACGTTGCGACGAATATATTTTGAATAGTTATAATTCTAATTATTATAATTATTACTTAAAATTTAAAAAGTAATGTTAATATCTACAAGTTTCTTCGTACACACGATATGCCTATTTCGATTTCATTATATCAAGGTTTAGTGAGGAATTCGTGTCAGAACCTACCGATTACCGACATATTTCCGATTGATTTTTTCTTTTTTACTCAGGTAAAAAAGGACTTAAAAAGAGCGTGGTTTAAAATTCGACGGCGACGATGAGGTGATGTGTGCTGTGGAGGCCTTTTTTGAGAACCAGGATCAAGCCTTTTTTCCCAGGGAATTTTCCTACTTGCTTTAAATTGAAAAATAAATACAATTTACGTATACTTTTCATACTCTTCTGCTGCAGTGCGTGTTGCCGGAATTAATAAAACAACATTTATAACTGCAATTACCAATTTATATTATTAAATTTTGAATATTGTGAAATTTCCGGCGGCTTAAGCCTTAACCTAAAATGATAATAAATTTTCCTATACGTTACATTATTACATAACATTATTACTGCATCTCTCACGCAAAATAGAACAAATTATATGAATTTTTATTAGTACATTTTAACGTGTGCTCAAATGTTGCCCAATAAATTCCTTATACTAAAATTGTCCCATATTATTACACACAAAAAAGCTGAGCAGTGGAATTCTTTTTGATTTTGATCTTCCTTCTGGCAATTTCTCTTATCCTCCATTTTGTTCGCCCTTTTGATTATAATGGAAGTCGGTATCTAATGGTGCTGATATTTTATCGAGAAGACCTGTTACAAAAAGTAAGTATTGATATGAGGCTACAATTCTTTTCAGATTACATTTCATTTATTATATGACGCAATAACCTTTTTCTACAAACGACTTCTGGTTTAGTTTTTTTCACAGTATTTTTTTTACATAGTTTTTAGCGTACTATGGAGTTAATGTGTGTAGAAAAAGCAAGCGGCAACTCAATAAATAATATTTGATTATTCTTTTAAATCTTTCTTCCATTTTACACATTTTTATTATCTAGCGTTATTTTCTTTCTGTTTGTTTATTTATTGGATTTTAAACTAGCTTTCAGAAGAGCTAGACGCTTAAAACTTTAAATAAAGTTCAGAGCTAGACAACAATGCACTATTAACTCGGTTTCTTGTCTGTTTGTTGCTTTATTTGTATGTTCATTACAGATTTGGCAATCGATTTTAAACATACTTCCCGATGAGCTATGGGCTTAAAAATTTAAACAGTTTAGAAGTGAATGATATACTAGAAAGAAAATTGACAAAGCATGCTGCGGATTATATTTTGCGAATATTTTAAATATTTTGACTACGTTTGTTGCAGATAAAGTAAATGGAGATTCATCATCATCATCATTACAGCCTTTCATAAGTCCACTGCTGAACATAGGCCTCCCCCAAGGAATGCCACAAAGTACGGTCGTGAGCCACCTGCATCCATCGACTTCCTGCATGTCTTACCAGGTCGTTACTCCATCTAGGGGAGGGTCGCCCTACACTTCGCCTACCGGTACGAGGCTGCCACTGGAGAACCTTTCTTCCCCATGGGTTGTCGGTTCTTCGAGCTATGTGGCCGGCCCACTGCCACTTCAGCTTACTAATCCGTTGGGCTATGTCGGTTACTCTGGTTCTACGGCGAATATCCTCATTTCTAAGTTTATCACGCAGAGAAACCCCGAGCATAGCCCTCTCCATAGCTCACTGAGTGACTTTGAGCTTCCTCATACGGCCAGCAGTGAAGGACCACGTCTCAGATCCGTAAGCCATCAATGGCAACACGCACTGGTTGTACAGTTTCGTTTTCAGGTTTTGAGGTATGTCTAACGAGAAGATGTGTCGTAGCTTCCCGAACGCTGCCCAGCCGAGTTGAATTCGTTGATTGACCTCTCGGTCGAAGTTGGACTTACCAAGTCGGACTTTTTGTCCCAGGTAAACATACTCGTCAACAACTTCGAGCTTAGTGTTCCCAACAACTACATATGCATAGGTATGACATGGACGTTAAGCATGATTTTTGTTTTGTCCATGTTCATCTAAAGACCTATCCGTTGGGAGACACTACACTCTGCAGTTGGATAGGTTTAGAGTGTGATCGGAGAGTTTTTGTGTTTTTCTGCGGTGGGTCTTGCAGAACTTAGCTCCGACTGCATGGACAGTTTCCACGAGCTTGTCATTCATATCGCCCACTTCATTGCTGTCATCTAGGCACTGAAAATGGTTTTGTAACTCCAGCTGAACGGCTTCGTTCGAGGGGGAAAAAGCGTGGACTTCATTAGACGAGACCTCTCCAACTTAACGTTTAGGTTCAGTGTGCCTCTGACCATTCGGTGATCGCTACCAGTTTTCACCCTCGCGATCACGCAGACATAACTGAACAGTTGTCGTCTGGTCGTCATAATGAAGTCAATCTCACTTTTTGTCGAACAGTCGGGGCTCGACCAGGTCCACTTCCTGTGGGGCCGCTTCTGGAAGAAAGAGTTCATCATAAAGAGTCCCTCTTTCTTCATGAAGTCGGCCAGCTGCTGGCCCCTTGGGTTCCGTTGCCCTATTCCAAATTTCTCTACTTTCAGCTTACCGTCCTCTCTTGTGCCTAGTTTTGCATTGAAGTCTCCCATTAACACTGTATAGTGGGTTTTGGAGGAATGCATGGTTCCAGAGATATCCTCATACATTTCCTCCACCTCCTCATAGGGATGTGCCGAGGTTGGTGCGTAAACCTGTATAATCTTCAGCGATTACCGTTTGGTTATACTGAGTATAAGGTACGCAACCCTCGTCGATACACTCTCAATCTTTACAACGTTGTTAACAAGAGACTTGTGGACGATAAATCCGACACCACCTTGGGACAGATGGTGGCCCTCCCGGTGATAGTACAAGTTGCCGGATTCTAGGTTTACCGTATCCTCCCCCTCTCTTCGGACCTCGGATAATCCTATAATATGCCAGCGTAACTTATCTATCTCTTCTTCCACCTCCACGATCTTCTCATCATTCCTCGGGGTGCGTGCGTTGTATGTTGCCAGGTCGAGTCGTCTTAGGTGGCAACCGAACCTCAACCGGAGATTCTAACACCCCCTGCCCCGCCGTTACCATGGTCGCCACCGTAGCCAGGAATAGCGGGGCCGCCGGGGACTGGGGGCCTTCTCTTTGTTACTCTCATCATTGGGGGGTATTTGCCATAGTTGCCACCCTTGGCGAGCGAGTTGGCAACCACAATTTTTTATTGTATTTTTGTTGTTATCAGGAAGATGCTGCTGCCCATCTCCTGCCTGTTTCCCTTTGTCACCTTTTACGACACCCACGGGAAGATATGGGGTAGTGGATATTCTTAACCGCCACTACACGGCGAACGGAGATTATTCGCTTTTATTTAAAGAAAACAACGTATTTTAAAAAAAATAGAAAATTAATTGATTGCACAATGTCCAAGATAAATCTAATAATTAGGATCATAACAAATTATGCAATAATATAATAAACCTATACATTATTGTACAATATTTGAAAGAACATTCAAAGCAATTTTATTCTGATTAGCTTTTTGGGAAACCTAACTATTTATAATACAATTCCCTTTTTATTTAAATACACGTGCCACCTCTTTGCTCGTTCCTTAAAAAATACTTATTTTATAATTTAATATTTTAAGCTAATTTTTGTAGTTAGATTTCATAAAGGTTTCTGTCTAACAAATTACCTGTGGATGAGTGGCTAGTTTTTAAATCTTTAATTACAAGTTCTGAGAGTTGTTTATTAGCCAATACACTTAAAATATTATGATTAAGTATAGTGAAATGCCTGCTGATTTTACCATTATTAAACCCAAAATATAATATTATTACTTCTCGGAAATAATATGCAATATTTTCTATATTTATTTTCTGACATCTAGTAGGTAGTAGAAGTAGTACACTTGTGTTATAATTAGCTAAGCTATTGTTTTAAGCAAAGTAATAAGGAATTGTGACTTTTTGTAAATACAATACAACACAATCTGACATATTTTTATAAAATGACTAAAGACTGTTTAATGATTTCTCTTTACCTCATACAGATTTATAGCCCTATATTATACAGGGTTATTTTACAATAACCGGCCAAATTTGCAGAGAAGCTTCAGATTAAGTAATATAGGCAAATTGTAAAGAAAAATTAATTAACAAAATTCTCAAACATTTTGTCCTTTGTATCTTTTTAATTCAAAATGCGTGGTAATGCATTATTTTAATTGATTTTACTGCACACTTACACATTTGTAAGCGTTGATAGGTAGGTAAAAACGTTGTTGCCCATAAATCACATTCAATTTGGGATAATTTCAAATAAAAGTAAAAGCTTCGTTTACTTGTATTTTAAAAAACTGCATTAATGGTATATCATTAATTATGTATTTAAACTTAAATTTTAAATTTTGCTACTCTTTGAAAAATAACCACTGTATATTCTTAACCCCGTAATAATTGTCTAGCTATGTTACTTTCTTCATCTTCTTATATATTCCTTTATATATATATAAATATATATATATATATATATATATATATATATATATATATATATATATATATATATAAATATAATTAAACACTTACATACATTAACGTTCACTTAAAGTATTGGGTAAAATGAGTCTCAGTAGTTCAACGGATGAATAATCAGTTGAATTACTAGAAACTACCCTTTACTTCACCGTCGAGGACGTAGTAAATCATCATGTGAAATTACAATTAACAAGTTCGTTGGTACCGACAGGGATCGAAATCAGCTTGTTCATAAAAAATGAAACTTAAAGACAGTCGCTAATCCCTTGAACTATCAAGATAGGTTATGTATGTACTTAAAATGTCCGACACGTTGTTTACGTTAGTCAAATGTGAACGCAATGTGGGTATAAATATTTTGGTGGCAATTTTTGTTGGACACTTTAATAACTGTTAATGCTCAGTTAACTTAGCGTTACATTGGAACACGTTTATCAATCACACCAGGTTTTCTATCAAAAATGTGTTACAAAGGTTTGAAAGAGATTTATTATATTATGACAATGGTGCACCATATAAAGCAAATAAAATTAACCCAAAAGACTAAATCCAAGAAATCAGTAAACCACATTCCCGGAATGGCATCTGCAATGAGAAAGTGCTTATATGTTGTGAGATTTGGGCACCGCTTCAATTTACATATTTTATTTTGATGACTTTAAGAACCCTAGGGTTAGTGTTATTATATGTTATTAATATTGTGTCTTAAATACCTCCCTAAAAATACAGTTTCTTGTATCAGATAATTCCCTGTACATATGCGAGACGAGGCGTATTTGCAAATTTTTCCTAAAATTGTTTCCTAAAATTAAATGAAGAATAGTGAATGCGTTCTCGGTATTAAAATTTTAAAATCCTTCCACTGTCATTTCCAGGCAACGGTGTTGTTCAAACTGCTAATCGAGTACTACTCGACAAGCAAATTTACGCATGTTTCATTCACTAGACTTGTTACAGCCAGGAATAGTGAACTCTACTATGAAAGCTAAAATTAGCTCATGAATATTTAACGATGTGAAGTCACCGCCAACGACCACACGGCCATGCTCACCTCTATATTATTACAGGCTTCGAATTCGAATTGCAGAGTGAAATCAATGTTACGTTTGCTGCGTTATGCTGTTTGCGGTTGGGTTAAAACTTTACATAAACTTTCTAAGCTAAATATGACATATCTATACAAATAAATAAAATTTAAGTGTCTGTTTGTAACGTCAAAATTACAGCTTA